GGGACTCGATCCCGGGACTCCAGGATCATGACCTGAGCCGAAGGCAGTCGCTTAACCAACTGAGCCACCCAGGCGCCCTTGTCATGACGTCTTGAAAACCTGCCGTGGGCAGCAAGCCCAGTGACCCTCCTGCGGGGCGAGACCCTGCTTCTACCCCCTCCCTCGTTGCCTTCCAGACGCTGGACTAAAATGAATGCTGGAAGGGTGTGAGTTTAATGAGGACCTGAGGCTGGACAGTGTGGGGACCTTGTCCACAAGGGGCAGAGAGCATGGCTCACGCCGGCCAAGCAGAGGCCGCGGGGCACAGGATGGGTCAGGGGCCCATCGACGGGCATCGACTGTGGCCTTGTTCAAGTGTGTGGGTCCAGGAGGTGTGGCCCTGGATGCCGGAGGGGGCTGGTTGGGCAAGGTCAGCCCCATCAGACTGGGGAGCAGCAGAGCCATCGGCGCCCAAGGGACCGGGCCCGGGGGGTGGGGGTGTTCCCGCCGAGATGTCTGTGTGTTCAAGGGTCCGTGTAAGCTTTGTAACCAGAAGCTCTTCTCACAGAACAAACCAAACACTGGAATACCGTTTGGTGGCTTCCACAGCTGCCCCCGGCGCCCCCTGGACGAAGATGCCTCAGCACTCAATGGGGGACAAGCCCTTGGTCTCCGTGCCGCAGCTGGTCGTCCCAAGCCCACCCTTGGCCATGGACAGCGCGTGCGGCCACAGTCCCCCCAGCAGGCAGGTGTCCCTTGGCTCACCCCCGAGCCACGGTGCCCCGTGTCCCACCGCGCACAGCCCCCCGGACTCCTGCAACCAGCCGCTGTGCCCGCCGCTGACCGAGAAGCATGGCTGCCGGACACCCCCCGAGATGCACTATGTGGCTGCTGGGCCACAGAGCATGGCGTGCGGCTGGTGGGCCTTTGCGCCCAAGTGCCTGCAGGCCTTCAACACGCCCAGGGGCTTCCTGCTCTTCCTGTGTGCGGCAGCCTTCCTGCAGGGCATGACGGTGAACGGCTTCGTCAGCACGGTCATCACATCCATCGAGCGCCGCTACGACCTGCCCAGCTACCAGAGCGGCCTCATCGCCAGCTCCTACGACGCAGCCGCCTGCCTGTGCCTCACCTTCGTCAGCTACTTCGGGGGCAACGGGCACAAGCCCCGCTGGCTGGGCTGGGGCGTGCTGGTCATGGGCGCCGGCTCGCTGCTGTTCGCACTGCCCCACTTCACCGCGGGCGCCTACGAGGCGGAGGTCGCCGAGGGCGTCGGGACGTGCCGGGCCAACCGCAGCGTGGCATGCAGGGACAGCGCCTCGGGCCTGGCTGGCTACCGACTGGTCTTCATGCTGGGCCAGTTCCTGCACGGTGTCGGCGCCACGCCGCTCTACACGCTGGGCGTCACCTACCTGGACGAGAACGTCAAGTCCAGCTACTCTCCTGTCTACATTGGTGAGTGGGGCTGCCGAGGCCACGGGGCGGGTGCGTCCACACCGTGGACGTGCCTTTCCTCGTTGGCCACACCGGTGGTCACGGGTGAGGTTGCAGGGGAGCACGGGCCTTCCTCAGGTGCTGGGGTCAGCCAGCTGCCCACGGCCCGCAGGGGCTGCGCTCGAGCATCACGCTCCCGCTGAGATCCCCACGTTTCCTTAGAGTGAGATCTCTGTGTTTCAACCTCGGGCCGCCCACTTCCCCGAGTCCCTCCTGCCAGGCCAGGCGTCCCCAGGGCCTAGCCACACCCTGTCCGCTGACTCCGGCCTCCTCGTTTGCACCTTGGGCTCTGTCACTCTGAGTCGCCGAGTGGTGCCGACCCAGGGACGCTGGGGTCCCGTCACTCCAGTGAGGCGCTGGTGGGCCGGTGGTGCCGAGCGGAGGCACCCTCATCCCGCAAAACGAGGCCCTCAGGATCTTTGCCCTCTCAAGGGAGAAAGAGTCCAGATGCTGTGTGCGTTTGGCTTTGACAGAAAAACTGTAGAAGCACTTTTAAAAGTTAACTGCAGGGGCGCCTGGGTGGCTCGGTGGTTGAGCATCTGGCTCTTGATCGCGGCTCAGGTCTTGATCTCAGGTTGTGAGTTCAAGCCCCACGTCGGGCTCCTCACTGGGAGTGGAGCCTGCTTAAAAAAATAAATAAATAAATAAGTAAGTAAAAATAAAAAGTTGACAGCAGTTAGATCTCGGACACAGTGGAGGCTACATGGATGCAAACCCTGGTCTGAAGGGTGGGTGCCATGGGGGAGAGGGCTCAGAGGTGCGGCCTGGGGGTCTCCTGTCAGGTGGCCCCTCCACAGCTCTGCCTCTCTCCACAGCAACCTTCTACACGGCAGCCATCCTCGGCCCCGCTGCCGGCTACCTGATCGGAGGTGCCCTGCTGAACGTTTACACAGAAGTTGGCCGCCGGTCAGTGCCCTGGGCTCCCCCTGCCCCTGGGGGACAGCGCCCCACACACAGTGAGGCCGGAGGGGTCTCCCTGGCCTCAAGCAGGAGGAAGCCCGGAGCTGGGCCTGCTCTGGCGGGCCGGGGGTCGGAAGGGGGGGGTTCCTGAGTGCAGGCCTGGGGGCGGGAACAGCGTGGCGGGTCAGCAGCTTCCCGGACCAGGTGGCAGCAGGTCACCGTTTCTCTGATGCCCTTTGTGGAACAAACGGCAGATTTTCGTGCTGCCGGTGTGATTCATCTGTGTGGGGTTTTCCAGCCGGGTGTCCTCAATTCAACCCAGTTTTGACAGACTTCCCGGAGTCGATGCAGACCCCGCAGGCTAAGGCTCAGCCCCAGGAGACCCCCCCCCCACCCACGTCAGACACCAGCCTCAGATGCTGGGTCCCCCAGCTTCCGTCCAGCCCGGCTACAAATTGGTGGTTCCGCAACCCTGTCCTTGGGCGTGATAAGCCGCTAGAACGGCTCACAGAACTCTGGAAGACACCTCACTCACTAGATTACCAGTTTATTAAGCAGATTATGAGCCCGGAGCCACCAGCTGGAAGAGACGCAGAGGGCAAGTGTGGGAGGGGGTGCGGGTTTCCGTGCTGTGCAGCGAGTCACCCCCACCCCCGCCTGGAGGCTCTCCAAACCCCCCAGCTAAGGTTTTCATGGACCAGCGTGCAGATGGATGCCTGGTGTGGGTGCCCTGAATGCACGTGGACAGGACGCTGACCCCCCACGCCTCTCCCCACAGGACAGAGCTGACCACCGAGAGCCCGCTATGGGTCGGCGCCTGGTGGGTGGGCTTCCTGGGCGCGGGGGCTGCTGCCTTCCTCATCGCCATCCCCATCCTTGGGTATCCCCGGCAGCTTCCAGGTGGGTGCATCACTCTCTCCTCACTTGGGCTGGGCGGGGCCCCCGTCCTGCAGGGCCAGGCTGGCCCCTGTGCTGCTGACCACGGGCACCGTCCACCCCTGTGGCTTCTCCCCGTCTGAGGCACGCCGGACGGGCTTGTGGCAGCCGGACCCCGTGCCCCTTCTGCCTCCTTCCGTTTCTCCTGGTCCCACGGTGTGTCCTGCTGCGGGCTCTCCCACCCCCCTCCTGTCTGTCATCTGGCCGGTGGTCACCGTGCTGCAGCCCCATACCCCACCTGTCCCCGTGCCCTCCATCCAGGGCACCTCCCCGGACCCGGGAGCAGGGAGGGGCCTCAAGCAGAGCCCACGGTCCCTGGCTCCCGCTGACATCTGCGGCCTTCCAGGCTCCCAGCGCTACGTGGTCATGAGAGTGTCTGAAACACACCAGCTAAAGGACAGTGAACACAAGGCGGCCAGCAACCCCGACTTCGGGAAAACCATCAGAGATCTGCCTCTGTAAGGACCTTATGGGGGGTGGTGTGAGCCCCTCGCCTGTGTCCGTGTGTCCTGAAGATCCTTGGGGGGGTCCCACACATCCTGGATCTTGACCCCAGGCTAGGAGAGTCCATGTGACCCCTCCGGGGCCGCGTGGCCAGAGCATAGCTCCTAAACCTCCCTCATGACCCAGTGCACTCCAGGTCTCGCCCCAAAACTGAGAAACTAAGGAGCAGCAGCTAGAGCCCTCTGGGGCTGGAGCTGCCGAGGGCTGGTCCCGATGGAGGGCCAGGGCCCCAGCTCCTCACTCTGCTGTGTCCTCTGACCATTTCACTAAGTGTCACCTTCATGGGCTCTGGGCTTGTGCCCCCTCCATGCCTGGAGGTGGCTGAGGACCCTGGGAGCAGCAGGACTGTCTCCAGCTCTCTGCCCTCACAGCCCTGCACCAGCACCCCCCTCCTGTGCTCCCCTCTTTCTCTTTCTGTGTGACCTGGCCGGCTTTGTGATCTTCATACACTATCGGGACGAAAAGATCCCTGGCCTGCTCTGGTCTCAGAGAAATTGGGGACCAGGGCAGCTCCTGGCTGCCCAGCACCCCTCGTCATGGGACCAGGCACTCCACAGGGGGCCTCTCCCATGGATGGTCCCCAGCCCAGCTCCTTGGCCTCACTGAGCACCCACCTGCCCCTCCAGGACCCTGGGGCCTGAGCCCAGGAATGCCTGTGTTTCCCTGGCCTCCTGGGGCCGGGGGCTGTTAGTGGTGGGAATGAGTCCCCGTTGTCTGTCTTCGCCATGGGGAGGTGAAGGGGGATCAGGGTCAAAGGTGGCCTCCAGGGAAGGCCCCGTGCCGTCCACTGTCCGCTGCTTTGCTTCCCTCATGCAGAGGAAACGGCTGTCATGCTAAGGGTGGAGGGGTGGATGGCCCCGGACCCATTTAGGGCTTTGTTCTGCTTCCCACTTCTTGTGATACCACCAAGAGCTGCCCGCTCCTGAGGGTGCCCCCAGAGCAGGCTGAGCTGGCCCAGGGCCGCACTGCCCAGGGGTCCAGGAGCGTCTGTGTGGGGCCAGCTCAGCCCATCTCCAGCACCCATGGTGAAGCTGCCCTGAACTGGAGCAGAACCTCCATTCTCTGCACAGAGTGCTAGGGCCCCAGCCTGTCAGCAGCACTGGGGACGGCGGCCGAGGGGAGGTTTGTGCCCAGGCTTAGTTCCCCAAATCAGTTGTTGGTAAGAAATCCTGGTGCACATGACCTCGTTACCATCATGACTAGTTCTCTGAGCAAATTCAACGCAAAGATCTTAGCAGAGCATCCTACAGCCTGGGATTAAGAAACACGGAAGTCTGCATGCCACAGGCAAGGGTGGCCCCCTCTCTGAGCCTAGCCGAGTGCCCCAAAGCCTGGGCGGATCAGAGCAGGGCCCAGGGAGGGGACCAGCCAGGCCCAGGGCATCCCCACACCTGAGAGCCCGACAGAGGAGGTCTGAGGGAGGGGCAGCTACAGAGCACAGCTGAGCCCCTGCCCGGCGGCGCCCACACTGGGGGCAGCTCCTTCCCTTCCCGGACAGACATGGGGCTCAAGTACCGAACCAAAGAGAATTGTTTTCAGTCTTCAAGCTTGAAAGTCAATTTTGCTGAGAACCAGGGTGGGGAATGGCGCCTGGGCTGAGTCTGAGCGCCCCCCCGCTGAGATGCCCCGAGCCGAGGGGAGGGTCTGTCCGTAGCTCCCTCCCAGCTGCCAGCTCGAGGTCCCGGTGCAGAGGCTAATTATGGCTGCATTGCACATTCCGACGTTCTAAAATCCAGTTTGTTGCCAGCCGCTGTCCTGAGAAGGAAGAGTGTTTGAGTGTGAAGGTGTTCGCTGCTGCGATCTGCCGGGTGGCGTGGGGATGACCAGCAGCGCCCATGGAAAATGGGGGCGGGGCTCCCGAGGACGGCAGGGGCACCTGCTCAGGTTATAGAACAGCTCTGAGCTGCAGACCCAAGAATTTCAGCCCAGGAGGGCTACTCTGAGCCACTCCCAGCGGCCGGCGGACGGTGGTCCTTTACGGCCGGGATCTGCTTTTTCGTGGTGCAGAGAGGGAGGGTCTGTCCTGCCAGGACCTGGGGCTCCAGGGAAAACTCTGCCCCCAGCCCACCTCACTCACCAGCCCCGGGGCCGGGGACGAGCTAGTCCAGGCACCTGCTGTCCGTGGTGGGACGGCTGGGAACAGCTCGGGGAATCGGGATGTGCAGGCGGCAGAGCCTCACATGTGGGGCGACGGGCTGGCCCACGAAGGCTGAGCGTCTTTACTTCTGGACCCCCCCGGGCTGTGATTTTTGTATGTTTTGAACTCAGCTCTGCTTGCTCCCTTTGGCACCCCTTAAGGACAGCTTGTTTTGTTCTGGGCCCCTCGTAACGTTTAACGGGCAGGTGCAGTCTCGTGTGTAACCAGGACTCAGGCGCTAGCCCTGCTCGGCCCGACCCCCTAACAAGATGCAGAATCCCAGTTCAGCCAGAGCGAGTGGCCCTCAAAGAAACTGCGCTCCTCCCGAGGGCAGGCGGTGTGGGGCAGGGTCGGTGCCCAGCCCGTCCCTCGGCGGGGATGCGGGGGAACAGCTGCCAGAGCCCACGCCCCACACACACAGGGCTGGCCACAGTGAGACCGGAGGCCAAGTGTCCCCAGGGCCGTGCCAGGGTGAGAGGGGAAGCAAGGCCAGTCTCACTGGGGGATCAGCAGGCCAGGTGTGGGGGGCCAAGGCCAAGATCCTCCCTCAGGACCCGGCAACACCACCCCCACCAAGTATGCACCAAGAGAAACTGGGGGGCCAGCCATTCCCAGCCTGAGCCTCCTTGGAGGGGCTCCTCTGTCCCCCCCTCCCCAGGGCTGGTGGTTGAGAAGGGACCCCACCCCCTGGTGCCCATTCCCCTTCTGCGGGGGCCTGGCCAGTCCTGGACTTGGCGACAGCGCCTCCCCCAGCCCCCAGCTCCTGGTTCAGGCCATCTGCCGGTCATCACAGCTGCCCCCAGGTGCCTGAATGGTGCCGTGGGGTCTCCCCAAGCTGGAGAGGGGGAAGGCTCTTCCCTGGTTTACCAGCTGTCTTTCCTGGGGCCCGTTCCCCACCAGCTGAAGCCCAGCCTCACACCTTCTCTTGATTTCTCTGGGACGGATATGGAGGGACGACAGCTCACCAGCCCACTCCACTCCCCTCTTGGACCTGGGGCTGTTTGTACTCAGGTGGGAGGGACCATGGCCCTGGGAACAGCGCTGCCACACACCCTGCTCTGGTCCACTCTGACCCTCTGTCTCTTCTCTTTTCCCCATCCAGCTCCATCTGGCTCCTCCTGAAAAACCCCACATTCATCCTGCTCTGTCTGGCTGGGGCCACCGAGGCCACGCTCATTGCCGGCATGTCCACCTTTGGCCCCAAGTTCCTGGAGTCCCAGTTCAGCCTGAGCGCCTCAGAAGCTGCCACCTTGTTTGGTGAGAAAACTCGCAGAATCTTGGGGGTCCTCTGACTTTTCGTGAGTTCTCAGATGAGTGAAGGGTCTTTGGAGTACCTTTCAGAAGCCCAGCTGTACACGTGAGGGCTCGCTGGGCGTGTGGTCCTGCAGGGAAGGCCCCGGGAGCAGGTGTGGGGCTGTTTGTCAGTGTCACCATGTGGATCCGATGGTCCTTCCCGAGAGGTGGGGAGTGCTGACCACAGCGTGCTGGCCAGTTCTCCGTAGATCCATCCTGGTGGGGACCCACTCTAGCTGGGAGGGTCAGGGATGGGTCTGGCTCATCTGTGCTGCTCCCCACCCAGGGCCTGGGCCTTCATCATCCCTGGCTTGCTGCAGAAAAGGTTTGGGTGGCAGCACCCCCCTGAGCACCTGGATGATCGTGTTTAGCCATGCCCATGAGCCAGGTGGCTGCTGTCCCAGGATTTCCTGGGACCATGAGGTTGGAGTCCCTGGGCCTGCCTGACCAGAGCCAATCTGTAGCCAGAGGCAGCTCGGACTCCTGAGGAGAATGAGGGGGCCCTCCTTAGACCCTCCTGCCACTGTCCCACCAGGCAGGAGGGGTGTGGGAGTGGTCACCAGACATGGGGTCAATGCCAGGCACAGGGTCCATGCCAGACATGGGGCAGATCCTGGCCAGAGGGGTCAACGCCATGTGTGAAAGGTGGGGTGCATGTGGGTAGCACATGGGCCAGCGCAGGCTGTGCCCCAGCCCTCGGGGTTCTGTTCCCAGCACAGGGGGTGGGGTTTCGATTAGGGACCCCAGCCCCCTTATCTAATGCCCCCAGACACCCCTCCTTGCCTGGCCTCTCAGCTGACCTCACATGCCCAGAGCTCTATCTGCAACTGCCTCCCCTTCCCCAAAGCGGCCGCCCCTGTGCTGACACCCCACAGAACATCCTCTGGGGCCCCCATGCTTCACCCTGGAGGTGTAGGGGGCCCATGTCAGAGCTGGCCTTGGTCATTGCTGGGGAGACAGGCCCACCAAGTCCCCACCCCCGTTTGCACTTTGTCCTGGGACAGCCTGGGAGCCATTCATCCCACCGTCATATGACACGGCCCTGGCCACGGTGTCTCCAAATGTGGCTCACGGCTGGACGCAGCAGAAGCTGTGGTGGGCAGGGGACACACTGTCCTGGGGGCCACCCCATCAGGTGGGCAGGGGCCATTGAGCTCTCTTCCTCCCAGGCCCGCCCCTGCGTCCTTCTGCCTCTGGGCAGCCAGGCGTCCTTCCTGAAGGCCCCTGGACCAAGGCTCCCCCAGCGGCCCGCCCCGTCCAGCGGCTGAGCACTCAGGTCAGAGCCAAGTGCTGCCACATGGACAGACGGATGGCTCTGGGCCTCAGTCTCCCCACCTGTAGCGTGGAGATGAGAAGACCCTGTGGGGGTTGCGGGCCCCACCCCTGCGGCCCTGAGGACTGCGCTGAGCCCCGCCCTCCCCTGCAGGGTACCTGGTGGTGCCAGCTGGCGGCGGTGGAACATTTCTGGGCGGCTTCCTTGTGAACAAGTTCAAGCTCCGCGGCGTGGGCATCATCAAGCTGTGTCTGCTCTGCACCCTGACCAGCCTGCTGGCCGTCTTCGTGTTCTTCATCCACTGCCCCAACGTGCCCATGGCCGGTGTGACAGCCAGCTACAGCGGCAGGTAAGGGCCGGGCAGTGCCCGGGCAAAGGGGGGCCCCCAGCACACCTGTCGGGGGAACCAGTGGCTCCGGGGATTGGGGGAGTTGGGGTTGGCCCTCGGTCACTGTTTGGAGATGCTCATAGCAGCAGGACGTGGGCTCACGGTTGCTCAAAGACAGCCCGGCGTCGGCCCTTGAGAAGCCCTCAGCTCCGTTTCAGCCCTGAGCCCAGGGTTCTCGTCTGAAAACGAGACCATGATCACCCAGCTCCTTTCCACGTGTGCACATGGAAAGTGGCCCAGGGTCAGCTCTCACGTGTCACTGCGTCATAGGGACGTGAGAACAATAGCCCCCCGATGGCAAGAGGGGACTATCTCAAGCAGGGGCCGGCCGCCTGCCCGTGGGCCAGGCGGGCCCCTCCCAGGATTCCCCGCAGACTCGACTGGCCCACGCAGGGCACGGCGATGCCGTGTGGTGCAGTCCTCTGATGGGGTTGGTGGAGAGGGGACAGGCTACACAGCCCACGAGGGCCCTGCCACCACGAGAGGGGGGCGGCAGCTGGCGCTGGGGCCGGCCCCGGGTTACAGAGCTGAGGGCAAGCTGGAGTGGCCGGATGGTGGTTTAGTGTTTCCCATTTGAGTGGAAAAGAGAAGAAAGCGTGTGTGTCGTGACCACTGCTGTGTGCGTGCACACACGATCCGTGCAAATGTGTAGCTGCAGCCCGAGGGGCTGGCGCTGTGGCGGAGGGCTTTGGCCTGTCCTCTCGCCATTTTTGGGTTCTGAGCCCTGTGCACACATTGCCTCTCCCGTAACCGAGTCAGGGAGCGCATGGTACACACGGCTGGGGAGCAGGACAGGCGTGGTGTGGGTGGCGTGAGAGTTTCCGACGATCCTGTGAATGGAGGCACCTGCCTCGGGTGGAGCCCATGTGGCCACAGGGGCCGAGTCCTGAGGCTGGGCGCTCCCGCCCCGCCCCGTCCTCCGGCGCTGGCCCCGGTCCCACAGCCATCTTGTCTCCTGCCTGCAGCGTCCTTCCGGAAGGCCGCCTGGAGCTGACAGCCGCCTGCAACGCCCCGTGCGCCTGCTGGCCCGAGCACTACAGCCCCGTGTGTGGTTCCAACAGCCTCACGTACTATTCTCCCTGCCATGCGGGTTGTGGTGGGGAGGCTGCGCCCAGCGCAGGCAGCCAGAAGGTGGGTGCGGCTGAGGCCTACGCGCTGTCCGCGCCCCGCCCCGGGAGGGCCCCCGCCCCTCCCTCCTGTAACCAGCGGTGTTGTTGCGCCCCTCAGGTGTACCAAGACTGTAGCTGTGTCCCTCAGAATTTTTCCTCTGGTTTTGGCCATGCTACTGCAGGGAAATGCACTTCAACTTGTCAAAGAAAGCCCCTCCTTCTGGTTTTCATATTCGTTGTAATTATCTTTACATTCCTCAGCAGCATTCCTGCGCTGACGGCAACGTTACGGTAAGCCCGGGCCTGGGTCTCGCTCTGGTCCAGAGCCTTCCCTTGCAGCACGCTGCGGTGGAGCCCTGCAGATCCTGCAGGGTACGTGCTGGGCCCCCTGGAGCCCCGTGGCCACACGGTGCTAACTGCCTCGGCGAGGGGCTGGCCACCTGGGGAGGCGGTGACGCAGCCTGGGGCTTGGCCAGGACCTGGCGGCTGGTGTGGGGGTGTGACTTGGTGGACGGCCGCACTCCCCAGGACGCTGACGCTGCTGTCTTCCATTTCAGGTGTGTCTGTGACCGGCAGAGATCCTTTGCGCTGGGAATCCAGTGGATTGTGGTTAGAACTCTAGGTACTGTGCACTGGGTAGCGTTGTGGAGTGGTACAGTTGCGTAGTGCGTTCACTGCTCAAGGGCACCCAGACAGTGTCTCCTCAGTGTGTGCTCACGTTGGCGAAGGACGCCATTCCCTAACAGTCCACTAGAGGGACCCATGGTCGTTGATTTGCCCAGAGGGTGGCTTTTCCTCCTTAGCACAAAGGGCTCAGAAGTCACGGGGAATCCCCCAGCCTGACGCCAGGTCCCCCCCAAGAAAGGAACACTGAAGTCCACTTTGCACCCCTTGAGATCACCGAAGACCGACGCCACCTTTCTGAGAACCTGCACAGTATGGGTCTCGGTGCTGCCCGCCCACCCTGCCTGCCCCATGCTTGGGGGTCTACTGACTGAGACTCTCCCTGCAGGAGCCATCCCCGGGCCCATCGCCTTCGGCTGGGTGATTGACAAGGCGTGCCTCCTCTGGCAGGACCAGTGTGGCCAGCAGGGCTCCTGCTTTGTGTACCAGAACTCGGCCATGAGCCGGTACATGCTCATCACTGGGCTGGTGTACAAGGTGAGTGAGGCGGCATCTGCCCCGTGTGCGGGACCAAGGGAGCCCCAGAGTCCACTCCAAAAGGCTGAGCATCTTCTCCAGCTAGCTCAGGTCCCGGGTGCCCCACAGGGGCCTTCCCGCAGCTCAGAACCCCTCCTGGACCCTGGTGGCCTGGTGTCCAGGAGGAGCATCCTTTCCACGTTAGAGCCGTCGGGGTTGGGCCCGCGATGCTGCGATGCGGGTGCTCCCGGGCCCCCCACCTGCTGGGGCCCTCACCCTGCAGCTTGGCGGTTGGCCCTGGGGCTCCCATCAGCTGAGGCTTTGCAGAAATGAAAACCAGCTCCTTTCTGTGAGCTTGGGTTCCGACAGGCCTGTTCCCGTCTGGGCCGGGTCAGCCTGATGGATCCACGCATGAGCAACACCCCCTTCTTCCAGCCTTCCCATGCCCTGGGCGCTGCCCCCTTCCTTAGCCTGACCCCATTAGGAGAAACTTCCTGCTGGAACACTTGGCTCACGTTGCATGGGGAGAAGCGCAGTATTTATATTTTGAATTTTGCCTGATTGGAGGAAAAGGGATAAAACCTTCAAAATAGCATGAAATTCTAGGGCCAGTCTGTAAGGGTGTTTTGATTTCCTTCTTCGGGTGGAGGGGGTGCCCAGGGGTTCCACCTCTCGCCTCAAGCTTTTCTTGAAGGGCCTCAAGAATGGAGGATCCTTGGCCCCCTGGGTTTCTCTCTGCAAGGCTTAGCATAGAAATAGCCGGGTGTGAGCAGGGATTTGTGTGGCTCTGGAGGTCAGCGCTGGGTCAGCTGTAAGGACGTGCCCTCGCGTGACCAGAGTCCTCCGCGAGGCCGCGTGGGAGCCCGGCGGGGCCGTGACGTCTGTGTGGCTGGTTGTGGGTGAAGTAGCCTCCACAGCACCGAGTGCTGACCACAAACCCGGGGCCTTAAACTACAGATATTTATTCTTTCCTCAGCTCTAGAGGCCAGAGGTCCCAAATCCACATGTGGCAGGGTCCGTTCCCTCTGGGGGCCCTGCCACAGGGTCTGGGCCTGCATCTCCATCTCTGCCCCCGGGTCACATGGCCTTCTCCCCGTGCGTCTCCTTGCTCCTGTAAGGACACCCGGCATGGCAGGTGGGCCCACCCAAAATCCAGGATGATTTCTTCTCAAGCTCCTTAACTGAATGACATCTGCAAAGACCTATTTCCAACTGCAGGTTCTGGGGGTCAGGGCTGGGGCGTCTCTTCTGGGGGGACGCTCTTCAGCCCGTGAAGCCCTCCACCTCCCTCACGAACAGTACTGGTGTCCACGCTAGGGTTCTGCAGGAAAGAAGGGTCTTCTCGCCAGAGCAGGGGTCCTCAGGGACCAGGGCTGGGCGGGCGGCTCTGGGTGCGTCCAGTGAGCTCCTCCTTTCCCCCTCCTAGGTGCTGGGTTTCCTATTCTTTGCCACCGCCTGTGTGCTGTACAAGCCCCCCTCGGAGTCTCCCAACAGCCTGGCAGCCTCTCTGCCCAGCCAGTCCTCGGCCTCTGACAACCCCATTGATGTCCGAGCTACTCCCTTGGCCCTCCAGCTCCGGAGTGACGTCTGACGGCCCACCTGTCTGCCCAGGGGCACTTCCTGAGAACTCTGTCGGATTTCTCCCCAGAAGGGCTAACCCCTCACCCGTTGTGATACCCCCGTGCTGAGGACCCTCCAGAAATCTCCCACTGGATCCCGAGGGTTCCTGAGCTGGTGGAGGACGCGTGTGACTCTCAGACACCAGGGAGAGAGAAAGCAAGGCTCGTGGAAAATGGGCGCACCTCCCTCCTGGTGCCTGGGGACCAGGATGATGGTGTCTATGGCTTGGGAAGAACGAGGCCCAGCAGCCGTTCCCTTCCTGCTTTCTGCTCCATGAACGGACACAGCCACGTAGCACTGAATTTTCCTCAGGGGCCCCAAGAGCTCCTGGACACGTTAACAGCCATGCTTTTAAAAAGGTCTATGCAATCGTAACTGTGCTGTTAGTTCTAGAAAGTGCACAGCCTGCAGGCCTGGTGTGGAGCCCGTGGCTCCCGGAGGTTTGTCGGTTGCCGTCCCGTCTGGGAGCCTGGGGAGGGCCCGCCACCGCCCTCCATGTGCCTACACGGCCTTACGCGAGGCACCGTCAAAACCACTGGATTAAAGTAGAAGGCACTGGCCCCCGCCGCGGGGTGTCTGCCAGCCATGCTCCCGAACGGGTTCCACTCCCCGTGTCCTGCGGACCAGCCCGGCCCGACTGCCGGGGTTTCTCCAGAGGTCAGGGAAGGCGTGTGAGGCTACCCCCGGGGGCGCCGCCTTCTCAGTGTTTTCTAACCTGTCTTCAGATCTGCAGCAGGACGGGAGCACCGTGGATAAGCAGATATTTATGGACCAATATTTTACATAAACTTATTTATAGGATTGATTTGACCGGGTAGTGCGGTGTGCGTGGAGCGGCACACTCGGTAGGCACGTGTGATTCTACCGCAAGGATGGCAGCACGTCCCTGGGATGTCTGTTGGCGGGTGTCCTCACTTAAAATGATGTGTATATAAATATATTTTAATATTTAAAAACCTATCTCTCTGTCCAATGTGTTCTGTTTCTATGAATTGGCAGAGCTCGGTGGTTTTGTACATCCTTCCTGTGGGTTTCTGTGAGTTTGTGCCTCAGAGTCTGTGACAGGCTGGCCCCGGATGAGCGTTTTCTTCGCCCTGAACCTGCCTGGGCATGACTGTCCCCTCCCCCACTGTGAGCCCAGAGTCCTTTCCCTCCAGAGACCAGCCCCTGGAGGGTGGTTGGGGGGCCTGGGTCCTCAACCCAGGGCCCCACTCCCTGCCCCATTCCTGAATGACCCGGAGCATCGGGACTCAGACCAGGATGTCTGGACACAGCGGTTGGTGCAGAAGAGTGTGCGTGCGTGAGAGGTGGGCGGACCCTGTGCTCCCTGGGCGTCCGAGTCTGAGGGAGCAGTGACCACACGGGGCAATGGCTGGTCCACGTCGCCTCCTGGAGGGCCAGAACGTGGCCTCCATAGTGCTCAGCAGATGCAATGGTGGAAGCAGATGAATGATCTGGTCCCTGGTGCTCCTGGCTGCAGGTTCTGAGCAGCACCTGGCTCCGAGTCCCCGCAATGCCCAGGGCAGGAGCCCCGTCACCCCGAGGCTTTAGGATGCTCAGGGCAAGTGCCCCTTGCATCTCATCCAACAGGCACGTCGGGGCACCTCCACCCCCTTGTCCTCTGGAGATGGTCTGTGACGGCCAGAGGGCTGAGGCCACAGGGGTCCCGGGGCGTGCCCTGCCTGCTCCCGGTTGAATTCAGGCCCCCCAGGCCCCAGCTCTGGCTGTGACTTCTGACCCTGACTGCAGCCCCTCCCAGGTGGGTGCCAGGGAGCCCAGAGAGTCCACAACTATGGCCGGTGGGCACCAGGAGGCAGCTCAGAGGTACCCTGGGGTCCAAGGCCCCAGACGGGGCTCTCTTCCTTCCACTCCCCACACTTCTGTGAATGTGAGCTGGATGCCAGTCCTCCCTCGGGTCCCGACCCGGCCACTTCCATTTGCCAGGAGCCAGGGGGCCCGGGTTTAAGTGGGGAGCAGGGGCCAAACAGGCTCCCTGAGAGCTGAGCAGCTGCTACATGCCGGGTCCTGTGCTGAGCGGCAGGGAACAGTGGAGGCGCTGACCAGAGAGCTCCCGGCAGCAAACCCAGACCAGGCGGGAGGGCAGCAGGGGCCTGGGATGGACAGCGCAGCCAGGGTGCTGGGATTCAGCCCGGGGCGGTGCCCCTGATGCCCTCTCCTGGCAAGGGAGGCCCTCAGACCCCCTTCGCAGGGAGGGACCCCGGGCACCTGGCAGAAACTGGTGCCTCTGGACTCCTTCCATCCGGTCTCTGCCCTTGGAAAGGGTCCCAGCGGGGGTGGGTACCTCTTTCAGCCCGTATTTTTAAACAGCTTTATTGAAGTATGAATCACCCCCCATGTCACTCACCCATTTAAAGCGCAACAGTGGGCTTTAGTCTATTCAGAGTCCTAGGACCATCACCGCGGACAGCTAGAACGCTTTCGTTACAGCAACAAGAACCCCCCTCAGCTGCCACCCCCAGCTCCCCTCCCCGCCCCAGCAACCACGAATCCACGTTCCTCTCTAGCTGTCCGTTCAGGCCATTTGCTATAGGGGCAACCACACATGACGTGGTCCTTCCGTGTCGGCCGCAACCACAGGGCACCTCCATGAGGAAACCTATGTCCTGGCTGAGGTGGAAAGGTAGTCCGCTGCATGGATAGACCCCATGTGTCAGTCATATTTAAAGGAGAAACAAGGTCCCTGGCCCCTCCCAAGCCATTCCCAGGCTGAAACACAAAATTGTGATCACTTCGGTGTTGGAATTAGGATGATGTCCTCTAGCAGGACTCTGACCATGAGCCACACTGTAGAGTTCTGAGGGGACACAGACATCCTCTGCACACACATGCCCCCTCACTGGGACGGGCCCGACCGCTGCATCCAAGCCGGTCCACGTCTGCTGCCTCCGAGGCCATGAGGTCCCCAGGATGGGGTCTGCCAAGCTCATCTATTGACCACTGGGCCAGGCCGGCCAGGGGAGGGCATCCGGGGGCACAGAGTATTGAGGAGTCACATTGCAAGGGCAGGTTTGGGGGGCGGGCAGCAGCTTCCTGGGGAGGCAATGTCATACCCATCTCACAGGGGAAGGAGGGAGCAGGGTGCCTGGGAGGTGAGCAGTCACCCGGGACCAAATAGGAGACAGGGCTGGAGGTGAGGCTGGCCGCATCGTGCTGGAGACCTGGCGTGGCCCGGGCAGCAGGCTAGATGGTGAGGGGGAGCTGCAGGGGCAGGTGTCCAGGTCAGCACCAGGATGGGGTCTCACTGCCGACAGGGACAGCAGCTTCAATCAGGGAGGAGCACATCTCCAACGTGGGAGCCCCGGAGGGCCCAGCGCTGCTGGGGCCAGGCCCTGCGGCCTACCCCTTCCCACCCCGTGTTCCTGTAGCCGGCTGTTCCAGCAGCCAGACCGAGGGTGGGAGGACGGAGTCGGGGCAGAGGGCAGGGGGTCAGCTGAGTCCACGTACTCACATCCCACAGTATGAGCCACGTCCCCCGGCCCCACTGCAGAGGGAGGTGGGAAAGCCGGCTGCATACCTGCTGGAGGTTACACCAGCCCCTACAGAGCCGTGTGGCATCAAAGCTCCCAGTGGACGGGCCCCATGCGGGAGGGTTGAGTCCCGGGACCCAGGCCTGGAGGGCAGCAGGAAGAAGCTGCTCGCACGCGGCTGGGGGGGAGTGAGGGGTGGGGTGACAGTCAGAAGACGGGGGACACCAGGGGAACGTGACACCTGGCTCCCCGAGCCGGGCGCACGTATGTGGTGCTCAGAGTCGTGTGTCCCCATCTGCAGTGGTTGGAGTCGTCCCTATTTTATGGATGGGGAGCTTCTGAGCTGAGGTTCCGAGGGTCTGAGAGCCTCTCAATGTTCCTGGAGGCCCCCTAGTGATAAAGTGGCCGAGGCAGGTGTCGGGAACTGAATGTTGTGTAGGCCTGGCCCCAGTGGAAAGGTATCGGATGTGGGGCCCCACGAGGGGCATTAGCTCCCTGCCTCCCCACCACGGGAGGGCACAACGAGAGGGTGGCCTTCTGCAAAGCAGGAGAAGAATCCTCAGCAGGGCCCAACCGCGCGATACCCTGGCCCCGGATTTCCAGCCACGGAGCTGTGGGAAGTAAATGCCTGTCATTCCCGGTTACGGCAGATCTCAAGCCCGGTCTGCTGGCCCTGAGGAGGGTCAGGGTGCAACGCACATCACCCCCCCACCCCCCCCCCGCAGGGAGGACAGAGGGAGGGAGGGACGGGCACAAGGATCAGATGTCCATTCCTGGAATGCCACCAAGGACGTGGCCAAACAAAGCATGGGAAAGGTGGAAACCCACCGGTGTCCCGTCACGTGGGGCTGCTGAAGACGTCTCGGTGGAAATCCCTACAGTAAAAACGTAGGAGGTAAGTCTGTCAGTGGATGGGGATGCCAGCCTCGGACCCGAGATGGGTGAGGACAGCAGGCCAGGGCCTGTAGGGTAGAGGCCCGACGGGAATGGGGCGAGGGCAGAGGGCTCCCGGGCCGCCGGGGCTGGAGCAGCACCCCGTCTTCCGGGAGCGTCGACACGCTTCTGCAGTCACGTGTGGCCGTGGCCTAGGAAAGCCGGACCTTGCAGCACTCTGGATGCCCTGTCACCAGCCATGTTGGCCATCGCAGGGGGGAGGCTGGCTGCAGCACCAGGTGTGGGCCCTGGGGCAGGGGGGAGGCTGGCTGCAACACCAGGTGTGAGCCCCGGGCAGGGGGGAGGCTGGCCACAGCACCGGTGTGGGACAGGGGGGAGGCTGGCCAAAGCACCCAGTGTGGGCCCCGGGGCAGGGGGGAGGCTGGCCGCAGCACCCGGTGTGGGGCAGGGGGAGGCTGGCCGCAGCACCCGTGTGGGCCCCGGGCAGGGGGGAGGCTGGCCGCAGCACTGGAGGGAGTGGGCAGGGCTCCTGAGTCCCGAGCACCACGCCCACCCATCCTTCCCCAGATTCTAGGCGTCCAGTCTGGGG